GGTGCGTGGCCTTGTTGTAAAGGGTAGTCTACCTTAGAAATTAAATATGCGATGCATGGCCTTATTGTAAAAGGCAGCTTACTCGAAAATAAAACGTGCAATGCGTGACCTTATTGTAAAGAGCAACCTACCCCGAAAAGTAAACGTACAATGAAAATTAAAAGTGCGATACATGGCCTAATTGTAAAGGGCGACCTACCCCGAAAATTAAACGTGCAATGCATGACCTTATTATAATGGGCGACCTACCCCGAAAATTGAACGTACGATGAAAATTAAACGTATGGTACATGGCTTTATTGTAAAGGGCGACCTACCCCGAAAATTAAACGTGCGGTGCGTGGCCTTCTTGTAAAGGGAAGCCTACCCTAGAAATTAAATATGCGATGCATGGCCTTATTGTAAAGGGCAACCTACCCCGAAAATTAAACGTGCGATGCGTAGCCTTATTGTAAACGGCAACCTACCTTAGAAATTAAATATGCGATGCATGACCTTACTATAAAGGGCAGACCTACCCTAAAAATTAAACGTACATATGCGTGGCCTTATTGTAAAGGGCGACCTATCTTGAAAATCAAACGTGCGGATGCGTGGCCTTATTGTAAAGGGCGACCTACCCTAGAAATTAAATATGCGAGTGAAAATTAAACCCATCTCCTTTTTTTTTTAAACCCATCCCCTTTTTCCTTCTTTTTTTTCTTCCTTTTACCTATTTTTTTCCTAATTCTATTTTTCTTTATTACCCTTTTTTTTTGGGAGAAAGGGTGCGGGCTAGGCTGAAATCAGCCTAACCCCCTTTTCTCTTTTTTTTTCGCTTTAGGTTGGTCAGGCTGAAATCAGTCCAGCCACTTACTTCTTTTTTTTTTTTTTTTTTAAACGAGATGGGATCGGACTGATTTCAATCCAGCCCTTCCTTTTGTTTGTTTTCTTTTCCTAAGTTGGGCTTGAGCCCGTAAACACATCCAACAAAACAAAACATGCTAGATTTCAATCAAACGTAGTCCTTATCCTATGTCTCTCCTGTTCTTAGTTCGTTCTTCAATTTCTCTCTCTAGTTCTTCAAGCTTTCCGAAATTAAAGACTCCCTTTCAAGCAACAAACTCAATCACACACACCATAATTCAAGATAGCAAATAAATAGCAAGTAAACATTTGGAATTAAAGCGAACAACGAAACCGAAAAACAGGGAATCGAATTCGGGGGCTCACCCGGAAAACTTCGAAGAACACCAAGACGAACCCGGAAAACTCACAAAAAAAAACCCATAAACGCAAGCACCAAGAATGCTTGTTTCTCACGAATTTATTGAAATCTTGCTCTTAGTTTCCTTTCCTTCGCCCTAACGAACTAAAATCTTCCTTGAATCAAAGTTAAAGACGCTTCAAACCGGTTCCGGGTTAAAGAACACAAACCCGTAAATATGAACCTTCAACCCAAAACCCGGAAAATTTGACTGCTGTCAAAAATTAAAAATCAATCTTTTACTTTTTTCTTGCTTGGATTTCCTATCTCTCAACCTAGAATTCCTCCCTCTCCTTTTTTTTCTCCGTGAAATTCAAAATGTTTTATAGCACAAAATTTCCTAAAATCTCTCCGAGAATTGAATCTCAAATCCCGAAATTGTCCGTCAAAATTTTTCCTCTTTAATTCATGAGTAATGCAAATCAAAACGAGAAATTGCTTGATTTTTTATTGGTATTAATTTCGTCCAATAATGCATAATCAAACAGGAAATTTGATCTTGGATTTGACGATTTCTCCAAAGATTTTTGGAGAGAATTTTCCTTGGAGTGGACGACATGTCGTCTTCTTCCATTTTGGTCTCGTCGTTCACTCCAAACTTTTAGTTTGGTCCTCACGTTTCAATTTTCACAATTACACCCTTCGATGGTATAATTTTAGCACAATCTCATCAATTAGGTCCCCGGAGGTGCAATTTAAGGTCTAATTTTTTTTTAATTGACTCGATTACACCCCTAATTACTTCAATTGCGTCCCTAAATGAATTTTTTGTGTTTTTCATCATTTTCTTTCTTTTGTTTTTTTTTCTTTTTTCTTTCTTTTGTTTTTTAAAATTCAAATTAAATAAAAAAATAAACATAAATAAAAATAAAAAAATAAAAAATAAATAAAAAAAGGAAAATAAAAAAAGGAAAATTTGGGTTATTATAGATATTGATAAAATATCACATTTATTATAATAATATAGCTTTGTTGCTTGAATGCAATGAAGAGAAGAAATCTTTGCTAAGAAAAAGACACAAAACAAGGATTTCACGATCGGAGACTTTATAAACTTGAAATACAAAGATGGTGAATATACTTCGAGTGCACATATATGACTTTTAGGAATTCCTAAATTAATTGTCATTGAAAAATTTTGAGTTAGCCAAAAAGATAAAAGCACTAATCATATTCATTACCGGATAGTTATGAGATTTTAATAGTGTCACTTCCTAACTCTACTCCGAATGAAAAGTTTACTTTGAAGATGGTGAAGGATAATATTCTTCATGAAAAAAAAAAGTTAAGGAAATGATCAAATACTTTAGAGTCACATGTAATTGTTATGAAAAACTAGGAGAGAAGTCAAAATAGATTTTTTTTCACAGTAATCAAGATAAAGAATTTGATGATAGAAAAAAAGTTGGAAGTCTAAAGAGATATCTTAATCGAAAAAGGAAATAAGGTGTTATTATTAAAAAAGACTTGGACATATCCAAAAGGAATGTAGAAAGTATACGAGAGATTAAAAAGATAAAGTCTAAGACAAGAATGAAGAGAATAGTACCGTTTTAATTGTTTACGATGGTGATTTTACCATTATTTGTAATGATGGTTGCGTAAATATTATTTATTAAATATCACTTGGGTTGTAGATTCATCTGCTTCTTACCATTTTAGTAAGTTAGGATGGAAAATCAAAAAATGCCTAGTGTTGTGGGCATTGAAGATATTTAGTTAGAAATCAATATTGAATGCATGCAAATTACAGCTTAAGGATGCTAGACGTGTGCTTGATATGCATCTGTACTTGATCTTTATATCTATACTTACTGAAGAAAGCTATTATAATTTCTTTGGAGATGGCAGATAAAAGTTCTCCAAAGGTTTTTTTTTTTTTAATTGTTAATAAAGGCAACAAAGATGAGTCTCTACGTATCGTAAGCCAAGGTGATTAAGGAAAAAGTGAATGCAATTAAAGATACCTTTACTGATTTATAATATAGACGACTTGGACACATAGTGAAAAAAACCTTTGGTATCCTTGTCAAAAAGAATTTTCTTCTTTTGAAAAGTATGAACTTGAAGACTTGCATTTTTTGTTTAGCTAATAAACAATATAGAGTGTCATTTTATAAAGTACCTCCACATAAAAGATCTTATGTTCTTTTACTTAGTTCACACTGATAAGTCTTTTGAAGATCCTTTGTAATTTGTTAATTTTACTGATGATTATTTTTTAAAAAAAATTGTCCACTTGTTTAATTTTTAAAGATTAAGTGCTTGATGTCTTTAAGAATTCCCATGCCAATGTTGGAAAAACTAAAAAAAAAAAAAAACTTATAGAAAGCTAAAATGTTTATGAGTAGTTAATAATAGTGAATACAGAAATCCATACTATAGAAAAAATTAGCATTAAGCTTGAGAAAACAGGGGTCCGGGCGGACATGGTATTTTTTTTTTTTTAATGCTCTTTAATTTTGAGGGTTATGACAGTAAGGAAAGTTCTTGTATAAAATATCAGAAGTTCTATAGAGTGGGGGAGATGGGTAGGTGATTTTGTGAGATTCTTCATTTATTATTTCCATGCAGTGGACAGTGGTTTGCATGTTTACATAATTTCTCTTCGTCAATGTTAGATAAAAGTGTTAGGCTAACAAACCTCATAATGTATTTTGTTCCTTTTCAAAGTAAGAATTGGTAAAGCATTGGGACCATTCTAAGAAAATCATTTCTTAATTCTGTTTTCAAAAACATAAATGATGAGCGGCCTACCGTTATTGGTTCTATATTCTCTAGTAATTGAACGTGGAGGTTTAACTCGAGTGATCGAAGAAAATGTGGATGAGATTTAGTCTCGATACATGAAAATTAGCTCAAAAATAACTTAACCGTTAAAAAAAATAAATAAATAAAGCGAAATACTAATAATCATAGTAACAAATGGATGGTGCATGCATGTCATCGTTGAAGCATCTTAATGATAGGAAAAAATTGATTCCTCAACAAGTTTTTAAGGGAATAAAAATGCCATTTTACCCCCATGCACCAAATCATCATGGGTGGCTGTGGCATTAACTAGTAAGAAGTAACCATTTGTCCTGATCAACTTTCTGAAAAGGGATTTTCTTTTAGCTTTGAATTTTTATAATTGATTTCAGATTTATTTGGATGAATGGAGGTTGCTTCAAGACTGTATGAACATCAAAACTTGAGGCCAAAAATGAGACTCAAAATTAATATCAATTATATGATCGCTTTAGAAATGATTTGAATGCAATTACAGAAAAAAGATATTTAAAATGTGGTGCTTATTACAAAACTGAATCAAATCTACTATATATAGGCTTACAAATTATCTAACATAGTCTTTCAAGGAAAAAAAAAAAAAAGAAAAAGAAAAAAAAACTCACACAAAGAAGTAGAATCATAGAGAACCTAAAGAACCTCTTTTCTGAAGTAGTCTTTCAAGATATCCTAAGTTCAACCTGTCAAATAAAGAAATAAAAGCAAACATAGTCATAACCTAGTAAGTCCAATGGGTAAAAATCTATAGATATCCAACACATATAGATGTTAAGTGAAGTCTTAATTGATTAGACCATAGATCATATAAAGAAATGTCTTTCGATAAAATGAAATTGAATCATGGTAAATTCCAATAGTAAAATCTTCAAGCGTAAAAAACTAACAGTAGTAGAAGAATTTACCCGTTGTACCTGGCATCTGCAGCTGCTAAAGAGTTTCGTCTGCGGTTGTCTATTTCTCGTACCTATCCGTAAATATAAATGTTTGGAATGTGAGAAGTCTTGTGCCACTCGTCACCCATCTCCTCCTTCTTGTAACGATTTCTTAGAATGGGGCAATATTCGATCTTCAATGTCTGAAGCGATGTTGTCAAAACATAATTCGGCAATGCCCTCAACGTTGGGCAGCTAGAAACTTGCAAGTATTGAAGTTGTGGCATTATAGTTGAAGTTGTAGCATCTTTTTCTCCTACTCTACTTTCAATCCCATCCCAATCTTCTAGTTCTTTCAGAGACCTAATTACGAGTTTTTTCAACTTGGGGAAAGCAGTGACCCTTGCAATTTCTCCTTCATTGTCAACATTTTCTAAACCTAAGAATCCAACATCCAAACTTCTCAGATTCAGAAATCTTAAATGTAGGTTTTCAAGGTTGGGCAATCTTCCCAGAGGAGGCAAAACCTCAAGGTTTCCACAATTTTGGAGTTGAAGCTCTGTTAATCTGGTTAATGACGTCATCCAATTGGGCAAAAAGATTCCGTTGTAATAAACTATGTTTAGAATTTCCAAGTCTGATGGTGGCTGTAAAGCTTCAATTAAAGCATCCTCATTTCCTTGTGACTCTGTTCTCTCCCCATCAAACCACAATCCCAAACGATGCAAGTGCTTCTTATTCTTCAGTTCTGCTTTCTCAGCTTCACCCAAATCTACTATATTTCCTAGTTTCTCTATCGAAAGAGTCCCTCTAAGGTGGTTTAAGTTTTTTAATTCTCCAAGATTGGCTGCTTTACTTTCATTCTCACCACCACCACACACAGTGAAACAATCTAATGTTCGAAGAGAACTTAACCTCTTTATTCCCTTGGGTATGAAGGCTACTTCTGAACCCTCGATCTCCAGATGCCTCAATTTGGTAATTTTACCGATTGCCTGGGGTAATTCCTTGAGAGAGCAACAAGAAACGTTTAGGGACTGCAGGTTGCATAAATTACATATAGTTTCAGGCAGTGACTTCAATTCCTCGCAATATGCCAAATCGAGGTATCTCAAATGTATTAATTTCACCACCTCACATGGTAGTTCTTGGATTGAAGAACTTGACAAATTCAATGACCTGAGGCATGTCAACTGCTTGAATAAATCAGGTAATGTGGCTCCAAGGGAAGGATTTCTAGTGTTGATCATGAAGAGGCTGCGAAGATTTTTTGCTTTACAAATGGAGACAGGAAAACGACCCTCTTCTGAAACTTTTATGGTGGAGTGACGAACTCTTTCATAAGAAGTGTCTGTGTTTGATTCTTCAAGGTCATTGACATCCACCATTAGACATTCATTTTTTGTCAGAAATTGGGAAAAATCATGCACAATATCATGCATCTTGAATTCCATAACTTTTTTAAGTAAGAACTCCCGCTCTTGAAAATCTTGAAAGAAAGAACGTGCTGCTAAGATTTCGAAGTACTCCTCGCCAACCACCTCCATATCTCTACTACGAGTCTCTTTAAGATAACCTTGAGCCATCCACATCTTTATCAATTTGTCTTTGTCCATCTGGTAGTCTTTTGGAAACATGGCACAGTATATGAAACATCGTCTTACCACAGCAGGCAACTCGTAGTAACTCAAAAGCAAAGGTGGAAATATTCCTCTTTCAACATGTTCTAACTCCCACAATTCACTAGATAAAACTTGTTCCCACTCCTCTCTTGTTCTTTTAAACTGCATCAGTCCTCCTAATACCTTGGCAGCAAGAGGCAAGCCCTTGCACTTGTCTGCAATTTTCTGGCCGATATCTGTCAATCTTTGGCACTCATCTTTGCTTCTTCTATGGAATGACACCTGACTGAATATTGACCAGCATACATCCTGAGACAATTCTTCAAGTTTGATTCGGTGGTTGGTCCCAATCATGGTTGCAACAGCGTCCTTACGAGTGGTTACTAGAATTCTGCTTCCGGGTGCACCACCTTTGAGAGAGACTTTCAGTGGTTCCCATTGTCTATAGTCTTCTGTCCACACGTCATCAAGGACAAGGAGGAACTTCTTTCCATTTATGGATTCAGAAATGTTTTGTAGAAGGGATTGCAATGCAACTAAATTTGGAGTAGCCCCAGTAAGAGCCTCAATTATAGTTTTTGCAATTACAGTCCCATCAAAAGGATCTGAAACACACACCCATATTCTCTTTTGAAAATGACCCATAACCTCATCATCATTATAGGCTAGTTGGGCGAGAGTTGTCTTTCCAATTCCGCCCATCCCTACTATGGAGATGACATTCACTTCCTCTGCTTCATGGCTACTTCCACTCAACAACTTGCTTACTATAGTTTTCTTCTCAGCATCTCGACCTATCACGCTTGATTCATCAACAAAGGAAGTAGTAGTTATCAAACGCTCACTTTCTTCAACGGCCTTATACAATTCAAAACCATACATGGTTCTCTCTTTGGCTATCGCATCTAATCTTTCACTGATCTCTTTTATCTTGAGGGCAATATCACGACGATGAATCACTTTTTGGAAACAAGAGCAAGGGGAGGGCAAGAAGGAACATACCATCTTTGAAACCGGTTCGTTTTCAGCTTCCTTATCGGTTTGTCTTTTAAGGATAGCTGTGCTCCACTCATCCAGCACGTCATCAATATCATAAAACACCTGTTTAAGCTTGTTGATCCAATCCCTGATTGCAGCCTCCTTGAGTTGTCTTCTCTCAGCATCTTCAAGGACAGCTTGGATTGCAAGGAGATTGCCATTAAGCTTTTGGACTTCTTCGTCCACACCAACCACTAGTTTCACCTCTTCTTGTACCTGCTGAATGATGATTGTTGTAATCTGCTCCAAGAGTGGGGATACAAGTGCGTCAGCCATTTATTTGTTTGGTATTAGGTTGGAAGAAACAGAAACAAAAAGACTGGTTTTTGAGTTACAGAGAGAAAAGCAGAGCAAAGGGTTGTCTAGTATGGCGTGATAGATTTGAGAAAAAGAAAAGTTGTTGTATTTCGCGTTGAAGGACCTATCTAAATCATACAAAGGGAAAAATAAAACCAAATTCAACTATGGTGAGCTTGGAACAGGTTACCAAACCATTTTAAAATTATTCTTTCTCCATCAGAAGGAGCAACTTGTAGCTTTTTTTTTTTTTAATATATATATTTTTCTCTTACCATTTGCCAAAGACGTTCCCTCTATAACAAAATATTCCAAATGTTCCATCATATGGTCGGCCATTGTTGTTTTTCGTATTCGATTGTTTGGACAGACAGGAAGATGAATGGTGAGTGACAGAACGAGGAAGAAAAGAAGGTTTGTCTATTTTGTTGCGCTACTACGTTGTTTCTCCTCCATGGGACCTTAGACTCATCTGCCGTGAATAATAGAGCAACTTGTTTTTTTATAAATTCCTTGTAGCTGTAATATATATACATATATATAATGTCTTACCTAGTCATCTTTCACTTACAGCACACGGTTTTTGAAAAATGCCCATAGAAAAATAAAACGACAGTAGAAACTAATTGGACAAAACCTCTATTGATTTTAATTTATTTAAAAATTAGTTTTTGAATTTTAATTTTAAATTTGATTTTATCTGAATTTTTTAAACTTTTGTCTATTTTATGATTTCTACCTATTACTCTTTCTTTTAAAAATTTTAATTATTGGTATTTTGAACTTATATTTTGCTCACATGTTAAGAAAAATCTAATCCATTTTTTTGAAAAACTTTCAAAAATTTTCAAGATTGGAAAGCATTTTTTTTTTAAATTAAAAATATAAAAAATTGAGAAAAATAAAAAATAACCTAAGATGATCTCAAATTTTTTTAAAGAGACTCGGATAAATTTTACTGAATACATGAAACTATTTATGCGATTGCTATTTTTTAAAAAAAAGAAAAATAAAATAAAAAATGAACTGTATTTTAGAAAAAAAAATCTAAAGAGGTCAAACTTGAAGCTAGAAGTTTAGGAATTGATTTTCAAATAGACTAAAGTTTAAGAACTGATTTTCAAATAGATTAAAGTTTAAGAGAGGTTTGACTCATTTAACACAGAGTAAATTATAAATTAGTCCTTCTAGTTTTGATAAATAAATTAATTAGATTTTTATTTCAAAAACTAATTATTTAATCTCTTAATTAGTGTTAATATACTTAATTTAATATTATTTAAATTTAAAAAATATCTTTTATTATCATCAGTTTTTTTCATAATATCTATCTCTTTTTTTCTATTTTTTAAAACAAAAAAACAAAGCAAATTAAAAAAAAAACTGAAATAAATGATTTTCGAAAAAAAAAAAGGCTAATTAATTTGTTTTTCAAAATTAAAGGGACAAATTTATAAGTTACTTAAGAAAGAAGTTATAATTTTGATTTCTTAAGTAATTGATAATGGAAGCGAAGTGCAATGATTGACCACTAAAACTTCTAGTCTACTTTGCATAACAAAGAAGATAAGAAAGCATGGAATTATTATTTGTGTGATGTCTAATAAATATATTTTTTATTCTAAAAAAAATTGTCTTTTTTTATTTAAATATGAAAAAAATACTAATGTGATATAATAATTAATAATCTGTCTATTTTTATTTAATATTTTAAATATGAAAAAAATAATAATATGATATAATAATTAATAACTTGTCTATTTTTATTTAATAATTTAAATATGAAAAAAAATAGTAATATGATATAATAATTAATAATTTGTTTTAGAAATGACAATTTTTATTTAGATTTATCTAGCTTGTGGATTTCATCTTCTATCATTTTTTTTATGAACCATCATAAATTTTCACTTATTACATGTCATTTGTTTGGAAATGGCACATCAACTTGTGCTTAACCTCAGTTTTGTGGACCAGCATTTTCTTGTACGTACTCTATTGGTTGGCTTTGTTGGAATTCGGAAATCCCACAAGCAGAGGAACCAGCCACCAAATGGTTTGGGCCATTTTGATGGAGATTGATCCAAACTATAAAAAAGGCTCAACAACGAAGCCCAGAACGGCCCAACTGAAGCAAAAAATATTAGCGGGCTGGTCCAATTAATTACAGCATGGTTTCAGAGTCCAAAGGGTTCGACAGCCTCAATTTAGATCCTAGAGTCCAACAAACTGATCTAAAGACTGGTCCAGTGAAAAAAGACAAGAAGCCCAATAATTTTGGAGTATATAAAGAGACCTCACGAAGACAAAAACCCACTCGACAACCTTTCAAAAGCATGCCCGTCCAAATACTGAAAGCCCAAATAAGAAAAGAAGCCCAAGCCAACCCAAGCCCAAATAAATTATAAACAGACGTACCCAAAATAAATTCCAACATGTTCGGCCAGGGCTTGGAAACATTTCGGGCGAGCAAAAGGGGAGGGAGGAAAATAGTCTTTTCTTAGAGTAAATTATAAATTAGTCCTCTTATTTTTGTGAAATAAATTAATTAGTTCTTTTTTTTTCAAAAATTAATCATTTAGTTTTTATATTTTAAAATCCACTTATAATTATAAATTTTTTTTTGTTCTTTTGTAATTTATTTTAATTTTTTATTTCAAAAAATAGAAAAAGAAAAAAATATGGAAATATTCATTAAAAAATGAGATTTTATGGAATAAAAATAATATTAAATTAAGTATATTTAATACTGATTAAAAAAATAAATAATAGTTTTTCAAATGAGGAAAGTTAATTAATTTGTTTCTTGACACTAGTGGGACTAATTTATAATTTATTCTCTTTTCCTATTTGGATTTGTAACTAGTGAATGAAAGGTTTTTTTTCTTTTTTTCCTCCGTTTGGTTGATGGATGAAAAAGGTTTCATTATTAAATTATACATTGCGTGTCTTGGAAGTAGAATTGGTTGCTTGAAATTGTTAAACAATAACATTAATTAGAATAAGGTTAGAAAGAAAACTAGAGTAAAGTATTATTGATTTCCAAATCCAAACAAATTTATACAATTTTGTTTATTGATGGCCTTACCTAGTCATCTTTCACTTACAGCACCCGGTTTATAAAAAATGCCCATAGAAGAATAAAACGACAGTAAAGACTAATTGGACAAAGCCACTCTTGATTTTAATTTATTTAAAAATTATTTTTTGAATTTTTATTTTAAATTTGATTTTATCTGGCTTTTTTTTTTTAATTGAGTCCATTTTATTATTTCTACTTGTTACTCTTTCTT